GCCGAGAATACACAGATTATACAGTATTTGTGTTCTTGAGCTAAGAGAGAGAGAGAGATGAGTTTTAAACATAAGGTAAAACATAATTAATTTGAATGCAAATTAATGCCAACGAGTAATAAGCTGTTCATGAAGTAAACGACTGACGAATTCCCTATTCATTGCATATTTTACTCGTTATTTACAACTTATTATATCCACCTTTTGCTACACTTTTCCTCCTCAATAGTAATGTTTGAATTGCAAATCGAGTGACAATTATATGGTATTCTCGGCGAAAACACTAACAATAATTTGAATGCAATTTCAATAGTCATTCATGCGATACATGTGTCGAGAATATCTGAGAAAAATTAATAATTATCTAATAATTAGTCAAAATAACAATTAATGCTTTTTCGATCGCAAGTGTCTATGTTGTCAATCCTTTTACGTCAAAATAATAATTAACTATTATTCAAATTAACCAAATATTTGCTTAAAGTCTGTCGGATATTGAATGAATTTTTAATTACCGGCCCTTTTAGGCGAGGACTGACAGCACAGACTAACGGCTATTAATTAGTTATTAGCGATACGGTATGACAAATGATGTCTAATTTGAAGTCATAATTATATTTACACAAACAAAATACAGGTACTAATGAATAATCAAACAACAAGAAAATGCATTTCAAAGTCATCGACACTTAATTACAGACAAAAAACATTTAAATTATTAATCATTTATTTCAGCGGACAGATGCCATGTATAACTCAATAATAGTTTTTTGATAAATTAAATCAGTTTTTAATTATACATTAGATTTCATAAGAGTTTTTAATGGAAAAACTCTTTTAAACATTATATGAAAAAACCATTTTTGGCAAGACTTGAGAAATTAATTTGTCTCACAATTTATAATTACATTAATAATATGCTGTTATAAATATATTAATCGTTAAAACTGTCTGTCACTCTCTCGCTTTGGCATACCTTTCCCTACCGGTGCTTTTTAGCGGTAGTACCCCGAACCCTAAGCCAATAATTATGAATAGGGATTACTGTCGAACGCTTAATATGTATTAAATTTAATATAAAACTTAACTCTAATACTGAATTAAGTTGTTTTTAGTCACTCAAGCCTTTCATATAAGTATCTGTCGAGTGAAACACTCAATGATTTATATCTCATAATAATTTTTTCTTAAAAAACTTATTAAATTCCTTGTATTACTTGTATGTCATTACTAAAGATATCGCATAAACATCTCAAATATAATACATTTAAAATCAATGTTGGAATTCAATTTTTATTAGATTCAGTTACCATTTGATTTATACTTTTTTAAAAAAATATTTTAAATTATAAGTCAATTTTTTAGTAGCCAGTCGATCTGATAAGGTGATTAACTTTTACGCAAACATTTCACTCATAATTCACAGTCAGATTTATATCATTGATTTAAAGCTCATTTGTCACATGTAATCAATATTTAAATGTGTATTAAAGAGTTGATTGGATTTTGTTTTGTAAAATTAAAATTTACTTTAAAAATTCATATATGAAAACAAATTTCAATTTATAACAAACACTGATATGTGTGCATAAGTTTTGATAACTTAATTGGTGTTTAGTTTATCGCCGTATAATAAATTGTATTTCAAGTTTGCACAAAGCAATCAATAGAGTTGTCAATAAATTATTTTGTTTCATACCCACCAAAAAATACACACATACTATTGATGGCTTTCCCATCGGGAGCACCGGTAGTATGGAGGCTGGCGGTGACAGCGAGGTTAGTATATAAGTACTAACTTATATTTAAATACATAAAACAAATACAATGTTTTTTCGCTTAAAACTATGCGTTTGGAGTAGAAATGAAACAAAAATAATAAAACATTAAAACCTCAAAGTGTGTGGAAATTGTGAGACTATTTGATTGATGTTTGCAATTAAGTGTTTTGATTGAAATTTTGTGAGTTTTGTTCACGACTTGAACACAAAAATATTTTTGCCCAAAAAAAGTTATATAATTTTTGTGTGTAACGTAAAATGCGCGAAATATATATATATATATAATCTATTGCTTTCGATATAAATATAAAATATAATAAATAAAAGTTTTTGGGGGTTATTGTTAATTGAGTTTTCAAAATAAATTGGTACCCAATGTCTGGTTTAATAAGCTTTGGGTTATCTCGCAATCGACAGCCTATTCATGAAATTCAAATAAAAGTATTTTCTTCTTATGAACACAAAAAACTAATATTTCATATAATTTTCGTATTATGTGTTTATGAACACAAAACGTGAAATATTTTCCGTTAATTTCGCTACTCATTAAAATTGATTGTAATTTGAGACTAAACTTTGGCTAATATTTTAATAGCTACTTTATCCCTAACCTTTTAATAATTAACAATACTATCTATGAAAAATAATAAAACATTTAATATTATGAGTTATATTTCAGAAATTATTTACACAATTACTAACTATAATAAGATATTCTTTAAAACACAAAACTAAAAGTTAATTGATTTTAAATTTACTTTTAAAAGGCATCAAAAAGAGGTACACTTTTGGTGTTTATATCTCTCCTTGATATATATATTTATTATATATTTATAATATATAGATTATTTAAGAAAAGTGCAGTTCATTTCCTGAAAAAATAACTATAATATCATTATAAACACAAGAATCCATTTCCACTGCCAGCGTGTGTATAATATACCCCAGAATGTTGGGGAACGCCTATAGCAATACCCCATCCCCTTATATATACACACTATTAAACTAAAATAACAGTCGGTTTTTTCACAGACACCAACTAATATAAAAAATGCTAATAAATCAAACCTTAAATTTTGTTTTACTTATTGTTATTTCATTAGTTTCTGGTAAGAGTTGATACATAAATATATATATATTTACTATTATTTTTTACTTTTTAAAAATACCACAAACGCTATCAAAACTACTACCCATTTAATTGTGTGTCTCATAGATAAGCCATTATTCGCTAAAATAGTAAATAAAAACTGGAAACCTATTAATTAAATTAATTAAAATTGTTTATATTTCCCCATTTATATATTTCCTACCGTTCCTATTGGCACTCACCTGTTTCACAACGAAACTACCTGTGCTCTCGGAGTATAGAGTTTCCCACACAAACATACGGCGAGAAATGCTGGAATGGACTGGGATTTTGTGACTTCAATTGCGGCGATAATGACTCCAAAAAGATTGACTACACGTGCCAAGAGACCCGGGCCTGTTGTGTGCCCTCCAAAGTGGTCATACCTATCAAGGACGTGGACACAGTGGCCGACGAGACACCCGGCGACCATAAATGCGGTTTAGGTCACGGCAACTGCAACACCAAATGCCTGTCCCCTAACTCTGTCTACCGGGGCTCGGCTAATGAGTGCCCGCACCGGGAGTTTTGCTGTATTCCCAATGAGTTGGCGGCGCCTAAGGGTTCGGCACCTGACTCCCCGGCACCAGATTCCCCGGCATCCGATGCCCCGACACCTGATGCCCAGCCTATGCAACCAGAGGCTAGTGGTGGTGGCAATGATAAGAGTAAAGGTCCTCCCGGTGCTCAAATTATGAAACCAATGCCACTGCCAGGCCTTAAGAAACAGAAGAATGTTGGCTAAAAGTTGTATATTAGACACCGGGAGTACAGACATTCTTGTTTATTAAGATTATTAACGATAATAATAACCAAAAAAAAGTTTTTTGTTTCCATAAATTAATTCTTTATTTCTTAATTAATAATTAAATGAATAGATTGTGTGAATAATTTAGACATTGTTTTTATAGTTATAATACAATTAAAAATAATAACAAAAATGTTTTCAAAAAACACTTTTGAGAGACAAATGTGTGTTTCATTCATAAAAAGAGTACAAAAAAAATGTGAACAAAAACATTAGGGTTTTTCGTAATCGTGTGAAATGAGTATAAAAAATAATTATATAATGCTTTCGTTTTATTTGTTTTTTGAAATTTTTTGTTTTCGTATCAAAATCTCAATTGAATTCCCGAAATACTTGTTGGCGTACACTTAGGAGGAGGTGTCATATTAAAGGGGTATTAAAAATGGTTTTCCACATACAATACAATAAAGGTATACACAGATAGTCTCAACCGATAATTACAATAACACTTAAGACTTTTGAAGATTTTGTTTTCTCTCGATTCACTTCTATATGAACAGCAAAAATAGTGAAAAACAATTTATGATGTGTTTTAGTGTCGGAAAAAACTACTGAATAATCAAACAAACAAAACACAAAACACTTCTGTGTTTCCACTCAATACTTCTTCCGACACTAAATACATTTAAAATTAGTTTTCATTTTTCTCTAAAACTTTGCTGTTGTTTGTTGTCATTGTTTATGTGTTGTTGTCTTTACTTAACATTAATTTAAATAATTACTTAAATTGGAAAAATAACTTGCTTATTTTATTATTCTTATTATATTAAAAACATTATTAATTTCTCCGTTTAATCTCCTTTTTTCAGTCCTTTTCTCGCTCTAAAAATTTAAATCTTTTGAAGTTTCTTCGCTTCGGTTTCTCACAGTCTGTGTAATAAATGTCACAAAATTAATGTGTGTTCATCACAAACAACAAGAAAATTATTTAAAGTTTATTAACATTTATTAAGAGTGAGTGAGTGAGTGAGTGAGTGAGTGAGAGAGAAAACAAAATCTTCAAAAGTCTTAAGTGTTATTGTAATTATCGGTTGAGACTATCTGTGTATACCTTTATTGTATTGTATTTGAGTGAGTGAGTGAGTGAGAGAGAGAGAGAGAGAGAGAGAGACTAGTAAAACGCTTAAACAGGATTAATAGGGAAATCCCCAGAATATTCTCTCTCTATCTGAATAACTATTATAATACCTGCACCCCTATAGTCAAGCACAGTAGTGTTACTTATACCACAGGGGTATAGTATTATATTAATTATATTCAGGATATACATAGCAATTAACATTCACTTACAGCAAACTTCGCACTTATTCTCATCGCTATCATCGCCGCAACCGTCGACACCACTGCAGAGGACCACCGAAGATCTGCACCTCTTGTTCTCGCACTGAAACATACCTTTCGGACAGACTTCGGCTGCAATTGATATTTGTTTGGAAAAGTTATTCAACAAAAAAATTAATTTCAAAAACTTGTGGCATATTTTGGGTTTTGCATACATTTCTCGCAAATGGTCTCGTTTTCATCGCTGCCATCAATACAGTCGGAAACGGCGTTACAAAAGGCGTATTGCGGTAAACACTGTCCGTTTTTGCACCGGAAAGCTTTGTCATCACAAGGAATGCCTATCGTGTATTAAATGGTGTTAATTATTAACTGGAAAGTTAAGTGTTTTTGTGAAAGCGCTGACCTTTATAGCACCGGGCCTCGTCGGAGCCGTCCGGACACTCCCATTTGCCATTACATACCGATCCCCTGGACAGACAGGTGCCGTCATCGCATTGAAACGCTTCCTTCGGACAGTCTGTCGGCAAACAAAGTGTTATTCAATTTTGCATTCATTTGCAGCGAATGAGGAAATGTCTGTTAAATTGGATTTGTTTTATTGATTAGAGATTATCGTTGACTACAAAGTGATTGGATTTCTAGTGATTAGTGTCTAATAGTCTAATAGCAGTGGTGTTGGTGTCAGACATCAGACATAAGTGAAGACATACTATGTTTAAGACATCCGTCTTCGTCAGAGCCGTCGTCACAGTTGTTGTGTTTATCGCAAACAAAATACCACGAAATGCACTGTCCGTTTCGGCACTGGTAGGTATCGTTGTGACAGCCTTTCCACCAAACAATATACAGTTATTATTAGTGTAAGGAATGGCAATCGAGAGCACCGTTACCTCTGTTGGCAGCACTACAGGACGGGGTCTTCGCAATGCACTCACATATGCCTCCAATACAGGCAGAGAAGGGATCTCTGATCTGACACTCGAGTGAATTCTTACATCCCTTTCCCAGAGATACCGGTTCTATAGTGAAGGCACTCTCATCCGCATCCGAGTCGTCCGAATCGATGCTATTTATCGGAGCGGCTATTCATTGGATTCAATTGAATTGACAGTTTTCGTTGTATTTTATACTCATATCTCATATCACATGACATCACATGAGATATCATTTCAACTCTTCTAACACTTCCAACACTTCTCTCTTATCACTGCATACCTGAAGCACTGGTAGTCGTTGGCAATGGTTTGCAATGAAGCTTATCGTCCGTCATCTCAAAGCCTTCTCTACACATACAGACCGACGACTCCTTCTCTCTGTCCTTATCTGATGCCAAAGAGTTGGCTCTTTGTCTGCAAACCGAGTCATTTGTAGCCAATTGGCAGTCGATGTCCTGAAAGCACTGATTCTCGAGATCTGACCACAAAATAATCATTTGGTTAGTGATTGCAGTGATTGTGACAAATGATGTGATAATTACTCGGAAGACATTTGTTGTCTTTAGTGGTGTGACTCAGAGGACACTTGCATTTGCCGTAAATTCTGGGAATAATATACTTGCAAAGAGTGTATCTATCGGAAAGTCGGCATTGTTGGTCATTCAGACAGTAGTCGTCCACTTTTGCCGCTGTTTTCAGAGAAAGTAATCAAATTAAATGACAGTCTCTTACCCTGATCATCTGATCATCTGATCATATCATGGATCTGACGATGACTTACGGGGCAGACACTTGTCTCTCCGCAATGGTATGAAGTCTGGTTTGCATTGACAGATGCCATCCAAACACTGACTGTTTGGCACTTTGAGAGTACATTGAGAGTCAACACTACAGCCGAAGCCCAACAGAGACGCTGTAATCATACAAAACACACATTACTTCAGACATCACTGACCATCGGATCCAGTGGTGGGTCACATGGCGTATGACATACCCGGCAGACAAGTGGTGTCATTGTAGAGGATGTAATAGGGCTGACACCGACACACCCTCTCATCCCAATCGCAGTGGGAGTTAGGGATGAATAGTAAGCACTGAAGGGATGACTTGCACTCAGAGTTAACCTTCAGATCCGACGGAATCGGACCTAAAATGCAAACAATCAGTCAATCCGTCAATACTTTCGGACAATTCCTTCATTCAATTCAATTGATTACAACTTTTTCTCATTTTATTTACTTTTATTCTCTTATTCTATTAATAATTGGATAATTATTTTAATTCTCAAAATAACAAAATTATAAATAATATAAATTTCAAACTTTTTTGTTGTTTGTATGCAATATATTCTGGAACTATAATTAACTAATGAATGACTTTATACTGTATTTGCAATCAATATAAAACTCAATGCATAAGACGTGAGCCATAAAAACTTTCCTAAAATTATTTAAACTTTTATTCCGCTATCTATTGATTGACAATAATTGATGTCATGTATAATGTGTTCGCTTTTAATGAGATTTATATTTTTAATATCAATTTATTTTTATTTGTCAGCACTAAATCACCAGTACTTTTGCTACCAAAATAACATAGTATAATATAAATCTCAATTTGTGAGCAAACAAAAACCAACTCATGATTTCCATTCATACCTAATCTCCGCCAATAGTTCACTGCACCGACACTTTGTAAATGAAAAACCTGTGAATTATTAGAAAATATAACTTTAAATGTTAATTTAATTTTCAATGAAAATATGTGTAATATTTATCAACATAATATTTAATGTAAAATTAAACTAAATATATTTATTATTTATTATATAGTAAATACTATTTTATCCATTTGATATACAGACATTTTATATAACTATTAGTATACATTTTAAAAGTATTTATTGCATTTTGTAATTAATTAAATGATTAGAAATTAAATAAAATCACTTTTTACTCATTTTATTACTTTTAATTTTAAATGTAATTAAATTCTTAGTTTCGACTTTGAAGTACAGATGAATTATTACAGTAATTAAAATATTTTCAAAATAATTTTTTTGTAATAAAAACATTTTGCGATTCTATCGTAATTAAGACAGGTATTATATATAATCACCAGTGTTTTTAGTGTATTGCGGCTAAATAATAGATCATAGTAGGAACTGTCGCTTTTTTGGGGGTATGGGAAAAGCATGATACGAGCCTTTAGTTTAATAGGCAATTTAATCGTTAACACGAGTCTATCCAATGGATAAATAATTGCACCGAAAATAAAAACGGCTGGAAATGTGTTCATTATATTAGTGCTAAGTTTTACACTTCAGCTCAAAGTAAATGTGTTTTTGAGTTGATTTTATTGTTTTACTTTTTAAATCTAATTCGCTTCCAAACGCACACATAGTTTCGGAGGACTAATAGTTATGGTCTCGGAATCGACTCCCAGAGAGAGAGAGAGAGAGAGAGAGAGAGAGACTTAGTGTAAATTCATTTAGAAGTTTGCATATTCTCAACGAAAAAATGTCTAATGAATTAATAATTGTTATAATAATAATACTCTGTGTCTTAAAAGTTCAAATGAATAATTAAAACGACAATTGTATTGAGAATGCATTGAGAAAAAAGTAAATAATTGTTTTGCGAAACAAAAATAAATTACAATTAAAAGCGAATCATAAGTAAATTGAAAACACATTACGATTTGGTAATTACGAGATACCAGTGCTCACTCACACTGGGAATGGATGCAAAATGCTCGCATACCAGTAGAGTAAATACATGAGTTTTGTGCATGTATGACATTTAAGTTCCCGGTACTTTTTTTTACTATTACAGACATCTAACCCTTTCCTTTCTTATAAGTTAGCGTGTATTACGCTGAGCACCGGCAGCGTATACATATCGGTGCAACGATTGTGTGGTATCGCATGAGAGACAGAGCGCGGTGAGCACTTCCATCCCCAGACCCCGGTATGTGTGCCCTTCCACTGCTGTATTACTATGATTATGATGGCACCCGAACCCTACCACAGCCTACTGCCATAGCACAGACACTCGTGTACTACCTGCGAGCCTACCTGAGCACACGAATTGTTACTAGTTTTCCGGGTGTGTGTCTGTGAGCCCAACCAAATGCAAACCCATATTTAAATCGCTTTTTATATAGCGTTGTATAATATAAATAAATGTAGATTTGCGAGACATATACGAAAAAACTACTCTACCGGTGTTTGCATGTATGTGTGTGTGAGTTATATAAATGGTAGTATAGATTGGAACCGGCATTCTGTGGCTAAAGAGTCTGATTGACTGACTATCCAACCCATTAGTTATCATTATTTGCAGTCAATTTACTGGCGCATCAGTTGACCCAGAACACACTCACCATAATGTGATAATTTGGGCCTTTTGTTCATTTATGGTTACCATCAAATCATGTATAGTAGGAATTTCTTATGCTACCTGGCCTCTCTCTCTCTCTCTCTCTCTCTCTCTTCACAAGCAATTCAATTCAATGTTCAATTGATAAGTGATTATAAATCATGTGAAGTGAAGTCAGCTTTAAATTTTAATATCTATTCATTTTGACATATAATGACCGGTCGACTAGTGAATGGGAAATATGTAGGGATTTGTTATAAAACTCATTGACTAATAGGATATGTGTAACAAAATAGATTGTCTTCAATAAAGTTATGGTTTTGTTATTGGATTTATGGTTTGCGAGACAATCGGAACTAGGATTTCAAGGGGGAGTGAGAGACGGCTAATAATGACTTAATTTTTTTTGTCTGTCTTCCCAACAGAAACCGATTTCAATGTATTTTTTAGGAATAATTTAAAATACATTTATTTGATTTGTCTGTGATTTAGGGGTTTGCATGAATGCAATCACGCTTTTTAATCATACAGTATGTGCGGGAAATCAGTTTTTATATACAAAGCTACTCCAATTGGTCTTAAAAAACGGTATAAAAACATAACATATAGTAACATAACTTAAGTATACTGTAGTTAGATATATACAGTAAAATATAATATGTATATAAAATATTCTATGAGAGGTGTATAAGTTTATATAACTTATGGATAGGTATTATAAGTAAGTATTTTATTGTTCGTTAGGAATGGACTGTATAGTGAAAAATGAAGTGATTTTTTGTGTAAATAGAAATCGACAACAATTGCTTTGAGAGAGAGAGAGAGAGAGAGAGAGAGAGGTCTGGGAAGTAAAGAAACAACAAAAAAGATACTGAAATACAACTAAATAAGAAAATTTGTTAAGAAGTTCTGTGTATTCAATGAACTCATGTCTATAAGTCAGTGTATAAATGAATATAACTTATTCTTAGCTCAAGAACACAAATACTGTATAATCTGTGTATTCACTGTTAAACATGAATTATAAGTCCCACGAAATAAGTTAACAAATTATGCTCAACACACAGAGTCTGCTCTCAATAATAGCTATAATACACTCAAGTATTACTCAATTCAATAGATAGAAAAGGCCGCAAAAGTGATGCTATTTTTTGGTAAGTGAGTGAGTGAGTGAGTAAGAGAGAGAGAGAGAGAGAGAGAGAGAGAACAAGTCAATTGTCTGTTGGTTTTCATCACTCCTTTTACTGTATAATACCATACGATAGGATCGCGTGATTTAATTTGATTTTCTTTGCAAAAGGTCCTCAAAAAAACTTTATACACGTCTCTCTCTCTCTCTCTCTCTCTCTCTCTCTCTCTCTCAGCAAAAATTATACACTAATTCGACGTCTATTTAGCGCACAGTTTAGCGAAACAGTTAAGCATTAGATGGAAATGTTTGGGCAAAAGGCTATGGCTCTCAAAGCATTTTAGCTATACTTAAGGCACGCACTTAACTGAATCCGATGTGCATCTCATCAATGAATGAATAGTTTTTTTTGCAACGAAAATAGTGTTCACTCGGAAAACTCACTTCGCATTATGGGTCGTGTTTTCACTCAAACTTTTTTTTTAATAATACCATCTATTTATGGGGGCCGGTATGTGCTGACAGCAGTGGGCTATACCTGTTAAGGTTTCGCGTCATTTACTTAACTTAAACACTCAATTGTCTCGAAAAATTTGTCACAAATGATATTTATTTAACTTTTTTTTCTCTACTTGTTACTGTCTGTGTGCTATTGAATCTACACGATATAGTGTTGTAGCGAGAGCACCGGGGTCTGTCTATGAACTCTCAGGGAAAAGTGCATTAAACTTCGTGTACTCACTAATAGCCTCTTACAGTGTCTTACAGTTCATTAAGTATAGCACTCTCTATACGCTAGTTATTGCTAGTTATCAACACTTGTTATGTAGTGTTTTCGAAGTTACCTGAAGTCTATTTGTCTTCAAGATGTGTATTATTTTTATTTTTCAAAATTTAATTATTCAATGCCTACCCCATTATCACTCGTAACTACTCTTATCAATGGTATTACATAATATTATTATGTAAACTATTTATATATAATATTAGACTATTTTTAGAGTAAAATATATAATATATCAAAAGTTTACTCACCATTACCAGCAAAACCAACAGAATTATGCGGTATTTGTTTGATAAACATTTCAAATGTATACTAAACGACGAGTATTTTATTTTATCCATGGTGAGCGCATTGATACTACCTAATAAAGTAAATGATAAGAAATTAGCGATTAAACAAACATTTTCATTGTAATTATAATGTGCTTAATTTAAATACATATATTATTATATTTCATGACATAGTTTGCTGACTCGTAATGAAAATTAATGCAAATTTAATGAATCCAATGAATTAGATAGATATGAATCGTTATCATAATTACAAATACAAGTATAATACACACACAATACGAGTTCATTACTAGTGAATTAAAATGCAATTAATTATCGCCACAAATATAGCTCACAGACAACGAGTGTATTAAAACAAAACGAAACATATTTTTTGCAATTACAATCTGTAATTCCTCCCTGGTAATTGATTGCTAAACAAAAATAACAAATTGCGATTATATTTGAGACTTGATTTATATGAGCGCCGACCTCTCCGTTTAGGGAAACAATACTTTTAGTTGTTTTCGTAGTTAATTGTCTTAATTGCTGACCGATTCCCTAATGAGAGATACTATCGCTTAATATAGACTTTGGGTATAATCATTAAATTAATAATAATCTGATCTCATGTGCCATCGATGCATAATATGCTCGCTATAGCGTACGGCCTGCGATAACATCCCGGTGCGTATCAATTCATTAAAATATATTGTTTTTTGTATACATAATAAGGCATATTTGTAGCTAAAATCGGTGCCAAATAAGAGGTATTTCTTATCGACAAAAAACATAAAATATAAGATAATTATTCAAATAATTTGATTCAAAAATAATGATATGTAGGAAATGGAGAGCGAGATATGAATGTGATTTGTATATTATATATATATAACTTGTATATACACTGTATAGTTTATAACACTGTATATACAGTATATTATATTTCTGATGGTAACACTCCTATCATTCACCAGCCATACTATGGTGTATGTAGTAATGGGAGAGGTTTTTCTACCAAAAAAAATTAAAATCCGAAAAAAGAGATCAAATGAAAAGTTTCGGAACTTGTTATCTGAGATATGATTGACAGCTAATCTATTAAATCTATGCGTCGATTGTATTGGAAATTGTAGCAAACATTTGCTGCAAAAAACACATTGAATATTATTGTCGGATATATACGTCGCTGTAGTGTTAAATCGTAGAGAGAGAGAGAGAGAGAGAGAGATGTAGTTTTGATTTTTATCTTATTTTTTACTCTTTAAATACATACTTCTGGTTCACAAAAAATGGTTTTGATTTGACTTTTTTTGTCTATATGTTCGCCATAAACTCTAATAATTTGCTTTCAATTTAAAACTTATAAATAGCTGTGAATTGTAAAAATTTTTTTTATCGATATTTCGCTGATAATGTAATGTTTTTTAATTTTGTAATCAACAGTTTCTATTAATATAATTGATTATAATTCATAACAGATATTGATTTACAAGTTAGATTAAAATGATATAAAATAAAATGATTTCCTAAATTAATTATTACGATTTAAAATATTACCAAAATTATTACTATTTATGATTAATAAATGCATTTAATTTTGTAAACTATTTGCGCAAATTTTATTTCAATTGATTTCAATTAAGATTATCGTATGAATGCCTTTTTATCAGATACTCTATTATTAATTCAAAAGTAATTAGAGTTTTAAATGGAAAATAATATTTATAAATTATTAATAAAGTATTTTTCAAACCCAAACATTTAAAAGTTTTTATTTCGGAAATAAAGTTAAATATATGTTATTAATTATGTGATAAAAAATATTAAAGGGAAAATTTATAATCAATTCATACAACTATCAAATTGTATTTTAAAATGTATTAAATGTGAATTCAATAAAAATTAATTATTAATTAAAATCACTATCTATTGATGTATTTTGTAAATAAAAATGAAAACTTTTTAGTATTTACCGTATCAATTCTAATAAATAAATTTCAAAAACTCAACTGGTGCATTTAAGCGACTATAATATTTTATAATTTAATTTAAATTATAATTTATAAACGATTTGTCAAATATTTTATGTAATTTATAGAAAATTATAGGTTTATAAGTGACTGATAATAGAAAATATCTAATTTATTTAGTTCTGAGTGAATGGCAACGAGAATATAGTCATACATATAATATCCGAAAAAAACATTTAAAAATCTATTATTAAATAATTAATACTCAATTCAATTGTGTGACAAATGTGTTTTAAATTTTACGATCACTTATTACTTGTTTAACGAGTATTTATATAAATATAAATGTGTATAAGGGTGTAAAAATAAATTTTAGACACATTTAATGGTCAATATTTGCAATATTTAATCAAATGTGT